TATGCAATAAAAATGTTTTAAGAATTAAAACTTACTTTATTATAGAGATATATAGCCTTATTATAATTGCCATTTTTTATATGGACCATCGCTTCGTCTACAAATAATTTTTTTTCTATTGAAATGAAATATTTTACTTGCGATTTTACTTTGCCATGATTTACCATACTGATTTAAAATCTATAATATATTTATCAAACATTTATTTATGTAATTAATAATTAATATATATAATTAATTAATATATTAATTAATTAATATATAATTAATAAATAATTAATATATTTATATTAATCATAAAAATCCAACATTTTTGTAATTATATCTAATATACATTATTGAATAAAGCACTTAAATAAAAAAAAAGTAATTATTGAATATTCAAAATATCAAAACATATTTTAATACAAAAATATATCTATAGAAGAAAAAATATTTTAAGAAATTATCTTTTATAGACATTTGATATATCATTCATTCTTAAATTATCCTTAAATAAAAAACAACTTTTTTAAGTAAGTGATTTTTATAATTTTACTTACATAAAACAAATTTTCATATTTTTTATTTTTTTGATATAAATTTTTATCAGATGATATAAACTTTAATTTACGTTCCAAACTTTTCTGTCTATATTTTTTATGTCTCCCTACTCTTGCTAATCAGGATTAATCAATATGAGAGTAGTAATAGAAGATAAAGATAACTATTTTTTACGACGTTTTATCAACAAATAAAACGCGAATATTATCTTCGTTATTTTTGTAGTATATTTTATATTATAAATTATAATAATTTTAATGAAATTATACTTTTTATAATATATATTATTTTTTTGATATAAATTCTTATCAGATGATATAAACTTTAATTTACGTTTCAAACTTTTTAATATTTTTAATTTTTATAAAACTAAATAATAATTAATATTAATTCTTTAAATTTTTAATTTTATTAAAAGAATATAATTAATATAATTATTAAGAATATTATTAAGAATATAATTATTAAAATATTAAAATTAATAATAAATTTTAGATAAATAATGCTTATTTTACTTCATAAATTTAAAAATTTTTAAATTAAAATAAGTTTTTAATTTATTATTAAAAAACTATGCATATGTAATAATAG